ATGAATATTACAGCAGCAGAGGCAGCAACAGCAGCAGAGGCAGCAACAGCAGCCGCCGCCGCCGCAGCCGTTGCCTCTGCTGCTGCTGCCTCTGCTTCTGCTGCTGCCTCTGCTGCTGCTGCTGCCTCTGCTTCTGTTGCTGCCTCTGCTTCTGCTGCTGCCTCTGCTTCTGCTGCTGCCTCTGCTTCTGCTGCTGCCTCTGCTGCTGCTGCTTCTGTTGCTGCCTCTGCTTCTGTTGCTGCCTCTGCTTCTGCTGCTGCCTCTGCTTCTGCTGCTGCCTCTGCTTCTGCTGCTGCCTCTGCTGCTGCTGCTTCCTCTGCTGCTGCCTCTGGTGCTGTTGCTGCTCCTCTTCCCGCTCCTCCACCATCATCTCCACCTCCTTCACCTCCTCCACCACCACCACTTCCTCCTCCCGCCCCCCACCTCTACCACCACCACCTCCTCCTCCCCCCCCCCAACCTCTACCACCACCACCTCCCCTCCCCCCCACCTCTACCACCACCACTTCCTCCTCCCCCCCCCACCTCTACCACCACCACTTCCTCCTCCCCCCCACCTCTACCACCACCACTTCCTCCCCCCTCCACCTCTACCACCACCACCTCCTCCTCCCCCCCACCTCTACCACCACCACTTCCTCCTCCCCCCCACCTCTACCACCACCACCTCCTCCTCCTCCCCCCACCTCCACCACCACCACTTCCTCCTCCCCCCCCCACTTCTACCACCACCACTTCCTCCTCCCCCCCCACCTCTACCACCACCACTTCCCTCCCCCCCCACCTCTACTACCACCACCACCTCCTCCTCCCCCCCACCTCTACTACCACCACCACCTCCCCCCCCACCTCTACTACCACCACCACCTCCCCCCCCCACCTCTACTACCACCACCACCTCCTCCTCCCCCCCACCTCTACTACCACACCACCACCTCCTCCCCCTCCACCTCTACTACCACCACCACCTCCTCCCCCCCCCCACCTCTACTACCACCACCACCTCCTCCCCCCCCCCACCTCTACTACCACCACCACCTCCTCCTCCCCCCCCACCTCTACTACCACCACCACCTCCTCCCCCCACCTCTACTACCACCACCACCTCCCCCCCCCCCACCTCTACTACCACCACCACCCTCCTCCTCCCCCCCACCTCTACTACCACCACCCACCCTCCCCCCCCACCTCTACTACCACCACCCACATCCCCCCCCCCACCTCTACTACCACCACCACCTCCTCCTCCCCCCCACCTCTACTAACCACCACCACCTCCCCCCCCACCTCTACTACCACCACCACCTCCCCCCCCCCACCTCTATTACCACCACCACCACCTCCTCCTCCCCCCCACCTCTACTACCACCACCACCTCCCCCCCCACCTCTACTACCACCACCACCTCCCCCCCCCACCTCTACTACCACCACCACCTCCCCTCCCCCCCACCTCTACTAACCACCACCACCTCCTCCCCCCCCCACCTCTACTACCACCACCACCACCTCCCCCCCCCACCTCTACTACCACCACCACCTCCTCCCCCCCCCCCCTCTACTACCACCACCACCACCTCCCCCCCCCACCTCTACTACCACCACCACCTCCTCCTCCCCCCCACCTCTAACTACCACCACCACCTCCTCCCCCCCCACCTCTACTACCACCACCACCACCTCCCCCCCCACCTCTACTACCACCACCACCTCCTCCCCCCCCACCTCTACTACCACCACCACCACCTCCCCCCCCCACCTCTACTACCACCACCACCTCCTCCCCCCCCCCACCTCTACTACCACCACCACCTCCTCCCCCCCCACCTCTACTACCACCACCACCACCTCCCCCCCCCACCTCTACTACCACCACCACCACCTCCCCCCCCCACCTCTACTACCACCCCACCCACCTCCCCCCCCCCACCTCTACTACCACCACCACCTCCTCCCCCCCCCACCTCTACTACCACCACCACCACCTCCCCCCCCCACCTCTACTACCACCACCACCTCCTCCCCCCCCCACCTCTACTACCGCCACCACCCCTCCCCCCCCCACCTCTACTACCACCACCACCACCTCCCCCCCCACCTCTACTACCACACCACCACCTCCCCCCCCCCCACCTCTACTAACCGCCACCACCTCCTCCCCCCCCACCTCTACTACCACCACCACCCACTCCCCCCCCCCACCTCTACTACCACCACCACCTCCTCCCCCCCCCACCTCTACTACCGCCACCACCTCCTCCCCCCCCCACCTCTACTACCGCCACCACCTCCTCCCCCCCCCCCACCTCTACTACCACCACCACCACCTCCCCCCCCCACCTCTACTACCACCACCACCTCCTCCCCCCCCACCTCTACTACCACCACCACCTCCTCCCCCCCCCACCTCTACTACCGCCACCACCTCCTCCCCCCCCCACCTCTACTACCGCCACCACCTCCTCCTCTGGCTGAAGATTATCTTTCCCCTCACATTGTTCTACGTTGTCTTTCTATTACCTGGAGTTTACCTGGAGAGAGTTCCGGGGGTCAACGCCCCCACGGCCCGGTCTGTGACCAGGCCTCCTGGTGGATCAGAGCCTGATCAACCAGGCTGTTGCTGCTGGCTGCACGCAAACCAACGTACGAGCCACAGCCCGGTCTGTTGGTAATATTGGATATTCGTGTAGGTTTGGTGCATTATTTTAATTATATGAGAAAGCGACCAGCAGGTGAACAAGACGACCGTCTCTTATATTCATTGTTAAGACTTTTCGCAAACTAATGACTTTTTCACTCCAGTACAGACAATAATTACTGGAGGCGGTGAAAGACGTGACGTAGTTGGTTATCAGTCCCACAGTATCTCTCCTATCTTAATGGGTCATGTCAGTTCCCGATGTCTTATAATAGTATGTTATTTCTTAATCTATAATCTACCTTGTCCATAATTACTATCACATTTGCTATGTCTGCTTTCGTAAGGTGAAGTCCAGGATCTTTCCTTAATTCATGGTATAACTTAACAAATTTTTGAAAACAATTGTGTTGCCCAGATCTGATGTGTGTGTGTGTGTGTGTGTGTGTGTGTGTGTGTGTGTGTGTGTGTGTGTGTGTGTGTGTGTGTGTGTGTGTGTGTGTGTGTGGTGCTGAATATGTAAAATTGGTCAGTCAGCAAGAACTCATTTAAAATTAAGTCCTTTCTAAAATTTTCTCTTTTACGTTTAAAAAATATATTGTTTTCATTTATGTTAATGTAAAAATTAACAATTTTGTGCCAAAGGAACCTTAGAAAACTTGCTTAATTATTATAACTAGAGCAATTTAATTTAGCCTAATCCAGCTACATATATGTTAGATATGTTTACAGTAATTTAATAATAAACAAACACAATGAAAGATATTTTTTCGTTAGGCTCGGAATGATTTTTGCGAAATTATTGCATACACAAATTTTCGCTTGCCCTAATCGGCAACAAGAGCGTTGTTATTTAAGCCAAAATTGCAAGTGTTACCTGTTCGGCATCACACACACACACACTGAGAGGTATAGACAAGTTGGACTGATGCAGGATGCTCCAGAGATGGGACACAGCAACAAGGGGTCACAGTTGGAAGTTGAAAACTCAGATGAACCACAGGGATGTAAGGAAGCATTTCTTCAGTCACAGAGTTATCAGGAAATGGAATAGCCTGGGTAGTGATGTAGTGGAGGCAGAATCCATACATAGTTTTAAGAAGAGGTACGATAAAGCTCACGGAGCAGGAAGAGTGACTGAGTAGCGGCCAGTTGAAGAGGCGGGGCCAGGAGCTGTGAATCGACCCCTGCAACCACAACTAAGTGAGTACAAATTAGGTAAGTACGCGCACACTCAGGAGAGGTTTGTACCCAAGGGTAACAGAAACAGCGAGAAAGCCAGGATGAGCCTTTGGTTCACCCAAAGGTGTAAAGAGGCCAAAACCAAGTGTGCTAGAGAGTGGAAGTATAGAAGGCAAAGGACCCAGGAGAATAAGGAGAGATGTCGTAGAGCCAGAAATAAGCATGCACAGGTAAGAAGGGAGGCCTATTGACAGTATGAAAATGACGTAGCAGCGAAAGCCAAATCTGACCCGAAGCTGTTGTACAACCACATCAGGAGGAAAGCAGCAGTCAAGGACCAGGTAATCAGGCTGAGGAAGCAAGGAGGGGAAATCACAAGAAACGGCAGTGACAAATGCGATCATGGAGTGATAGTGCACAAAATGAGGGCCAAGCATGTAAGGAAACTAGAGAAAATGCAGAGGTTTGCAACAAGACTAGTCCCGGAGCTAAGGGGTAAGCCCTGTGAAGAGAGATTAAGGGAAATCGACTTGACGACACTGGAAGACAGGAGAGATAGGGGGGATATGTTAACGACATATAAAATACTGAGAGAAGTCGACAAGGTGGACAGAGACAGGATGTTCCAGAGATGGGACATAGTAACAAGTGGTCAGAGTTGAAAGTTGAAGACTCAGATGAACCACAGGGATGTTAGGAAGTATTTCTTCAATCACAGATTTGTCAGGAAGTGGAATAGTTTGTGTAGTGATACAGTGGAGGCAGGATCCATACATAGCTTTAAGGAGAGTGACCGTGTAGCGGCCAGTGATGAGGCGGGGCCAGGATCTGTGACTCGACCCCTGCAACCACAAGTAGGTGAGTACACACACATACATTCATTATTATTATTATTATTACAGGTGTCACCTCACCTAGAGGTGTTTAAAATCATTGTTGTGATCATCTGTGCTCTCCCTCATCGAGAACATCATTCGTGATTGACGTGTCCATTCAAGGCAGGAGAGATATCAAAGTTGGAAAATTTACTGGGATCATTTACTCTAGTAGATCATTTTATACTGATAGAAATACCTTAGAGTACTCTGAATGTACTCTCTTGAGCGAAGAAGTGTTACCTGAGAATATATACTGGGAAAGCATTGAAGAGCCGAGTCCAAAACTCACACTACCCTAACAACGTATAGTTAGTGTGAATATTGGGAGGAAGTGTAATGCCAGTGAAAAGCAGGGGAGTCATGTGCACAGAAAGAGAACACCATGTCAACATCCTTTATCCAAAAATATTCAGTCTGTTACACATATCAGAAATATTACTGGAACAAGCGAAGTTTTCAGTGTGAAACCAGATTACTGCCTCCGTCAAATAGGCAGCAACAGCTTGGCCTGGTTGTTAGGGGAAGAGGAACTCTGGAAACCAGTCTAATATATATTACAAGTACCTAGTATCCGGGTAGACAGGCACCTGGTAATCAGAGGCGGTGTTAACTAATACACAAATGTAAAAGTACCTGATACACAGGTAGAGATGTACCTGGAAGTAGTTGTGAGCATAGAGTTCAACACCATCCTTGTACCAGGTGATGCTGGGTCTGGGATTGCCTCTGGCTGTGCAGATGAAGATGATCTTACGTCCCAACACATACTCCAGCTCATAATGTGATGACTGTATCACTCGCGCTGCCTGTGGGAATACATAACACATGTTAACACCTGTCACAATGCTGGTGTTGCCTGTAGTAACACACATGTTGCATATACCTAGTATGTAGTACGTACAAAATATAATCATTACACACAAAACCACTCATCATTCCTGTAGTCATTTTAGATATCAGGAAGGTGACCCGAGTCATTCCTAGATCGTTTGACGAGTGTTAGATGTGCTGCGGCTTTCTAACCTCCCAGGGATGGGGACATACACCAAGTGGTGTATGTCCCCAGTGAGAGGCATACACCAAGTGGTGTATGTCCCCAGTGAGAGACATACACCAAGTGGTGTATGTCCCCAGTGAGAGACATACACCAAGTGGTGTATGTCCCCAGTGAGAGACATACACCAAGTGGTGTATGTCTCACTGTGTATACTCTACCATCATTAATTGGTTCAGAGTACTGGACAGTACAGAGGCAGATGGACACTAGCAGCATTAATTGGTTCAAAGTACTGGACAGTACAGAGGCAGATGGACACTAGCAGCATTAATTGGTTCAGAGTACTGGACAGCACAGAGGCAGCTGGACACTAGCAGCATTAATTGGTTCAGAGTACTGGACAGTACAGAGGCAGCTGGACACTAGCAGCATTAATTGGTTCAGAGTACTGGACAGTACAGAGTCAGCTGGACACTAGCAGCATTAATTGGTTCAGAGTACTGGACAGTAACAGTGAGCAAAAGGTCAGTGGACCAGATTAACACTCTCTATTAAGGTTAAAGTAGTGGTATTAAGCCTGGCAATAATGGCAATAGGAACAAAGTACATACACTACACTTAAGACACCTTTAGTGAATAGGTTTTGGTCCTGGGATCTTGGTCATTACGAATGTTACTAAAGAATGAGAAATGCACTCAGCTCATACACTGAGTGCCCGGGGTTCGTTCCCCGGTACGGGTGCAAACTTTGGACATGTTTCCGTACACCTGCTGTCCCTGTTCACTTAGCAGTAAGTAGGTACCTGGGAGAGGGCGGTGGTATACCTCAAATAGGGCTCTGAAATGAGCAGGTGTAGGATAGCAGCTATTAGCCTGTAAAAATTGATTTGTGTAAAAAAATCAGAATTATGAAAAATGAAAGTAGCTGATGGTCAGACGAAGGCGTGAAGTCATCTAATTGCTATGTCACGTGACAGTTGAGAAACATAGCAGTATCATGTGTGCCAGGGTTATTTAAATGATACATGTGCCAGCCCTTTGTTCCGTGGTGTCAGTTGTAGGAATTAAGAGGAGCTTCCTTGTAGATCATTTCAGCATTGTTCCAGTGCATGTGGTGGACCTCTTTACATCTATGTATGAAACAGTCGTTGCTGTTATCTTGTCGGTTGCAAGCATATATATGTTCTTAAAACACGCGTGAAAATATTCCCCAGTTCTTGAACATAGATACTGCATCCCCTGCATGGTATGGCATATATTCCTGCCTCATACACAAATAACCCGCACATAGAAGAGAGGAGCTTACGACGACGTTTCGGTCCGACTTGTTATTTATATTCCTGCTTCACTGTTAGGTGTATCATGGGGATCTTTCTTCCTTGTGAGATCTCTGATGCGTGACGAGGCCATGGCAGCTACATGGATGTTGCTTCTAGAAAAGCCCTGAGTGGTGGTGTTCGCAACTTTAACTCCAGGTAGATCAAAATCTGGGTTTCTCGGTGGTAGCCTTGTTGATAGAGTGAAGGATAGTCTCAGCTTTAAGTTTAGAGTCTTGTATGAGGCAAGAAGGGAAGCCCAAGTGTGTGAAGGCATGAGTAATGAACTGGGAGAAATGTTTCCACGCTCTTTACATGCAAAGACGAGGAACCAGACTACTCAAAGGTTCAAGCCAATTTGAGGAACGAAATGAAATGCTGTTTAAAGACATGGAAAACATTGAGGTCCTTTTTTTTTTTTTTTTTTTTTTTTTTTTTTTTTTTTTTTTTTTTTTTTTTTTTTTTTGTTATTCGCCGGTATTCTCCCGGCCCGGGTCTTTTCCAAGTAGTGGTGACCCGGCCTTGGCTCCCTATCTGGGGAGTGTCTCGAGACTTAAGTCTCCCATGGGAGGAGGTACAGTACCTCCTCATCTTTGGGACCAAGTGTCCCCAGGCCTAGCCACATTCCCCGCCCTCACGGGGCTCGTAGGGAGAAGCTAGGCCTCTGGTCTGCCATCTACCCCGCCTCAAAGGGGCTCGTGGGGATGGCAGTCTTATGAGCTGCAGATGGTAGCAAGCTCAGGCTGTTTTGAGGTCCTTGTTTCTGTGTCCCCTCTCTGGAACATCTTTTGTGTGTGCTTCTGTGTATTTGTTTTTTGTTTATTTTATCTTTAAGGTTGAATGTTGGCTTGTGACACGGTCTTTTAATCATCGTTAACGGGAGCATTTTCATTCCTGTTACATTCCACTCAACAGTTTCGTAGGTTCTGTTGTAAAAGTTCGACCTGGTGCCAGATTTCGTCATTGGTTGTTTAGTTTACTGGTATCAGCGTCTCTGACCCCTTCATAACTACCATAACTTGGTTGATCTGGCATTGTTTGCAGGTATATGTTCGGTTTACCCTTTGCAAATCCTCTACCTTTGTTCCAGAAATATTTCTGATACTTGCTGGTAGCATTTAATCTTGGACTGCAGATGTTAGCACAGTGACGCCCCTGTTTTTTCCCGGCTTATCTTATACCTCTTCCATATTTCTCACTCCAGTAAGCTGTTATGCTAGTGTCTAGAGTATTTTTACTGTATGTATTTTTACTGTACTCTTAAGAGGCACCTAAATTACCCCGTCTTCTAATAACATGTTCATTTTTCCACTATAATCTACTTTATCCATAATTACTATCACGTTTGCTTTGTCTGCTTTCGTAAGGTGAAGTCCAGGATCTTTCCTTAATTCATGGTATAACTTAACAAATCTTTGAGGACAATTGTGTTGCAAGCTTTGCTACACAATTGTCTCTGCATGGTATAACTCTTCATGGTATAACTCTTCATGGTATAACTCTTCATGGTATAACTCTTCATGGTATAACTCTTCATGGTATAACTCTTCATGGTATAACTCTTCATGGTATAACCTAACAGAGATATTGTTACTTCCATGTATATAACTGACTGGTTAATGTGAGTTTGTTTGTTACAGGTGAGGTGGTGGTGGCCAGGTAGGCACTCTTGTTGTCATGCCCAGGTAAGTTAGTCCTCTTATCTCCCTTCTCACCCTCCCTCCCTTCCTTCTTTTTTCCCTCCACTCTTCCTTTCTCTATTTTTCCCACCCTTCCCTTTTTCATTTCTTTCTTGTGCCTGATCCTATCACGGCCAACCTCCTCTTGTTTCACTCCTTTATTTCCCTCCTCCCCTTTAATTCACTTCCTCATTCCTACTCCTCGTCTCCTCCCTCCTTCCTTTCTCCCACATCCCTTCTCCCTCCCTCGTCCTTTCCACTTTCCACTTCCTCCTTCCATTGTTCCCTCCCTCGCCTGCCTCCTCCTCCTCTCTCCCTCCTCCTCTCTTCTTATTCATAGCTAACACTTCCCTCCCTTCCTCACTTATTTCTATATCCTACTTCCTCTTTATATCATTACCTCTCGTCCCTCCTTCCTTTTTCTTTCTTTCCTCCTCATATCCTCTTCCATCATCATTCTCCCTTCCCTCCTCTTTCGTTCCCTCCTTCTTTCCCTTACCCTCTCCTCCCTCCCTCGTTCCCTCCCTCCTTCCCTTCCTTCATCTCGGTAACCTAACTCGTATAGTTAAACAAAAATTTTTGGTACATATCTGTGTTAGTCTCTAAACTGTAATGATCATACTGGTCATTATACTGGACTAAGAATGATCATACTGGTCATTATACTGGACTAAGAATGATCATACTGGTCATTATACTGGACTAAGAATGATCATACTGGTCATTATACTGGACTAAGAATGATCATACTGGTCATTATACTGGACTAAGAATGATCATACTGGTCATTATACTGGACTAAGAATGATCATACTGGTCATTATACTGGACTAAGAATTATCATACTGGTCGTTATACTGGACTAAGAATGATCATACTGGTCATTACACTGTACTAAGAATGATCATACTGGTCGTTACACTGAACTAAGAATGATCATACTGGTCATTATACTGGACTAAGAATGATCATACTGGTCATTACACTGTACTAAGAATGATCATACTGGTCGTTACACTGGACTAAGAATGATCATACTGGTCGTTACACTGGACTAAGAATGATCATACTGGTCGTTACACTGAACTAAGAATGATCATACTGGTCGTTACACTGAACTAAGAATGATCATACTGGTCGTTACACTGAACTAAGAATGATCATACTGGTCGTTACACTGAACTAAGAATGATCATACTGGTCGTTACACTGGACTAAGAATGATCATACTGGTCGTTACACTTGATTAAGAATGATCAATACTGATGGACCATCACCTGGAGTTTACCTGGAGAGAGTTCCGGGGTTCAACGCCCCCACGGCCCGGTCTGTGACCAGGCCTCCTGGTGGATCAGAGCCTGATCAACCAGGCTGTTGCTGCTGGCTGCACGCAAACCAACGTACGAGCCACAGCCCAGCTGGTCAGGTACTGACTTTTGGTGCTTGTCCAGTGCCAGCTTGACTGCCAGGGGTCTGTTGGTAATCCCCCTTATGTATGCTGGGAGGCAGTTGAACAGTCTCGGGCCCCTGACACTTATTGTATGGTCTCTTAACGTGCTAGTGACACCCCTACTTTTCATTGGGGGGATGTTGCATCGTCTGCCAAGTCTTTTGCTTTCGTAGTGAGTGATTTTCGTGTGCAAGTTCGGTACTAGTCCCTCTAGGATTTTCCAGGTGTATATAATCATGTATCTCTCCCGCCTGCGTTCCAGGGAATACAGGTTCAGGAACCTCAAGCGCTCCCAGTAATTGAGGTGTTTTATTTCCGTTATGCGCGCCGTGAAGGTTCTCTCTACATTTTCTAGGTCAGCAAT